ATTTTTTTTTTTGGTACATAAGAAGCTAAACAAAGCTAAGTCCTAAGGAACAAAGTTCCCATGTTGTCTCTATGAAGAATGCTCCCAATGCTATCAGGTGGATTCGGGAAGAATGTAGTGCCTTGAGTAAGTTTATGGCCAAGTGAGGCCATAAAATCAGCTGCTGAGTTCCCTTCGCGCAAAGTGTGCTGGATTGTGCAAACTGTGAAGGAGTCTATCAAATGGAAAATATCCAGTAACAATACAGAAGGCGGACCTTCCCCAGCTTTCCTCGCTTGAATCATCTGTACCGCTAAAAGAGAGTCCATTTCAAGAATCAAGTGGGTAATTCCCAACTCAGAAGCCAACTGAAGACCAGTGCGGCAGCCCCAAAGCTCTGCGATGTAGCTGGATTGTTGTCCAATGTTAGTGGCGAAACCGTGCCGCCATCGGCCTCCATGGTCACGGATGAGTCCGCCAGCACTAGCACTCCCAGAGGGATGGTTCATTGCCCCATCGGTGTTCAACTTAAGAAATGGAAAATTCGGAGGGAACCATCTCACCCATCTAGGTGAACGGGTATGTGCCATAACACTTGTTGACAAAGCCAACCTTGTATCAGCTGCTAAGGAGGAAGCTTGATGGTAGAGGACATGAGGGGGAATCGTCCTGTTGTCAAAAATAAATGTGTTCCGGCCCTTCCAAATCACCCAGATGGTAGATAGAAAGAATGTAGACCAGTTGTGAAGCAAGGCTCCATTAGATGAAGTATCCTGCGCATTCCTTCTCAACCATTCTTCAAAGCTCAAATTGAAAAAGGTATTAGGGAGGATAGTCGAAGACTCCCAGATCAAACGGGAATGGAAACAGTCTCTCAAGAGATGCAATGGTGTCTCCGCTTCTTGCTCACATCTTGGGCAAACTGGGGTTGTCGCAAAATGTCTCTCAAATCTCACAGAATTGGTGAGTACTCTGTTTCTTTGAAGAAGCCAAACAAACAATTTGATTTTTTCCAAGCATTGTAGCTTCCATATCCACTTCCAATGCCCTTCTTGTTGAGTCGGATTTACATGCTGTTTTTGCAGTAGAGAGAAAGCAGACTTTACAGAAAAAAGACCATCTTGTGAACCACTCCAATATGCTCTATCTGGTTGCTGCGCAAACATTGGGATTGGGATTGCCAAAATCTGCTCCACGACATTTCTAGGAAGAAGGTGCCCGAGCAGGACCTCATTCCATTCACCAGCCGAAGTAATAGCATGGGAAACAAGGATATCCATGGAAGCAGATAAATCTTGTGAAAGAGCCTCTTCATGTAAAGGCTTGTCGCCGACCCAAATATCCTGCCAAAATTTTATCTGTTGTCCATCACCCACCCTCCATCTCAAGCCGAGTTGCAAGATACTCCTGCACTTCAGAATACTTTTCCATGTAGCTGAAGCTGTTTGGGTAATGGAGCAATGCATTAAGGGCCCATTTTTCAAATATTTTGCCAAGAGTGCTTTACACCAAGGCTTATTCGGAGCAGAGATTAATTGCCAACCAAGCTTAGTGATCATGGCTTGATTGTTCTCCCTAGCAGATCTCAAACCCAGGCCTCCGAGATTCCGTGGCATACATATAGTATCCCAATTAACCAAGTGTGGCTTATTGGTTGCACCAGAGCCCCAAAGAAATCGTCTGTTCAGGCTGTCGATAGCAGAGCAAATGCTATTTGGCAACAAGATTGATTGCATTGTATATGTAGGGATCGCAGAAGTTACGGATTGAACCAAAGTTCTTCTCCCAGCCATGCTTAGTAAACTTCTCTTCCATCCAGCCAATTTAACTTGAATTTTTTCCAGAATATGTTTATAGGTAGAAATTGAAGGTCGCCCATGAAGAATTGGCACCCCCAAATAGGTACCTAAATCAGATGTGAGAGGTATGCCACTGGCAGCACTCAAAGCCCCAGCTACATGACGCTGTATATTTGGTGAAACATATATCTTGGACTTTGTTGGGTTGATTTCGAGCCCGGATTCCATTGAGAATGCTGTTAAACAATCCATGACTACCTCCACCTGTTCTTGAGAGGCTTCACAAAAGAGCATAAGATCATCTGCAAAGAATAAATGTGAAAGAGCAAGTCCCCCTCTAGATATCTTAAATGGCTTCCATAACTTGGATTGCACCCTACTTTGAATCTGATGAGACAACTTCTCCATAGCCATGATAAATAGATAAGGTGAAAGCGGATCACCTTGCCTTAGTCCTCTTTGTGGATTAAAAGAGGGTAATTCTTCCCCATTCCAAAGGACTGAGAGCTGTAAAGAGGTTATTGAAAACATGATCAGTTGTATCAGGGGAGCTGGGATGTTAAAATCTTGCAGCACCTGTCGTAGAAAAGACCAATCAACACTATCAAAGGCTTTATGGAGATCAATCTTCCACACCATAGCTCCTCGTTTGCCTCTCATTTTGCGCATTGAATGAACCGCTTCCTGGGTTAAGATTATATTATCTGTTGTGCATCTTCCCTTTAGGAAACTATTCTGGAATGGCCCTATAAGTTGCTGTAAAAAGGGTCTTAGCCGATTCACCAGTACTTTAGAAAGCACTTTATAAGCAACATTTAACAAGCAGATGGGCCGGAATTTTTGAATCACATCTGGATTGTCCCCTTTTGGAATTAAAGCAATGTGCGCCTTAAGTAAAGAGGGATCAAAGTGACCATCTTGCAAAGCATTAGTAATAAAGGTCAACAGCGTACCTGACACCTCTTCCCAGTGCTTTTGATAAAAAATCGGTTGAATGCCGTCCGGTCCTGGGCTCTTTAAACCTTTCATAGAGAATAAAGCACTTTTGATTTCCTCCAGCGCCACTGGCCTCAGGAGAGAGTCACCCTCTTCTTCTGTCAGTCTTGGTTGGTAGGTTGTATAGTTGCTACTAGCTGAATGAGTTTCTTTCCTAGTAAATAGCCCAACAAAGAAGCTATTTATGTGTTGCTTCAAAATAGAAGGCTCCCTTACCCATACATCATCAATCTTCAAAGCTGAAATCCTGTTCCTGCTTCGTCTAATTACCGTGGAAGCATGATAGAAGGCTGTGTTCCTATCACCAGAAGCAATCCATTCTATACGTGACTTTTGGCACCAAAATAACTCCTCTGCATGCAAAACCTGATGATACTCTTTCAGTAACTCCGTTTCCAGCTCCTGTAAAAACTGTGATGTAGGGAAATAAGCAGAGTTTTGAATACCCTCCAATCTACCTCTTAACTGTCTCTTCCTGTGGAATAAATTACCAAACACTTCTTTATTCCATTGTATGCATGCAACTTGAACCGAGTTTATGGCAGAGGTGATGGATGACTTGTGCAAGGACCAAGCATCAGTAAAAACTTGCTTGAAGGCATCGTGTGTTAGCCATGCAGCCTCAAAGCGAATAGGCTTGAGTGTCCTTTCTCTTTGCACTGGAGCATCTAAACAAAGAAGAACTGGATGGTGATCACTGCAGAGCCGAGGGAGATTGATCACTTTAGCATCTGAAAATGCATCCAATGCCATTACATTAAACAAGGCCCTATCAAGCCGTTCCCTCAACAATACTCTCCCATTCTGTTTGCGTAGCCAAGTGTATTTACATCCCAACGGTTCCGTAGAATGTAAATTGCAATTTGAAAGTCTATCCCTGAAGCGTTGAGCTCTCGCGAAGCCTCTCGTTGCTCTCGGGGATGCTTCTTCCACAGTAAGGATGTCGTTGAAGTCTCCCATTACCACCCAATTATCTTGGATATGTTGTGCTAGACCATGAAGTTGATCCCAGAATACATCTTTCATAGTTACGTGCGGTTGCACATAGGCAAAAGTTACCAAACACTCTACCCGTTGCTGAGATAACGAGCAATGAATGTACTGAGTTGAGCTGTGTAGGACCTCTAAGTTTACAGTCGTAGAACTCCAAAATAACCAGAGGCCACCGGCCCTCCCCTGTGACGGAACTTGGAAGTCCTTATCAAACCCCAGTCTTCTCATAAACTTGAGTGCAGCAGTAGCTGTGTTTGCTTTAGTTTCTAGAAAGCATATAACATCTGGACGATTCATCTTGAGTAACTCTCGACACTCCCTTCGAAAAGGGCCATGTTGAACCCCCCTACTATTCCAGGTTATAATCTTCATCTAGAAGTTTGAAGAGGGGGCGCAACTAGGTCCTGGGTTGCCTCCAGAGAGAGTACTTGGCTGACCTGCAGCGACTTTAGAGTTGCCTCCGATGTGGTCTGATACCAGTAGTGGACTACCTGTTTGTGGCATAACTGTTATGGGAGACACAGTAGAAAGGCATGCTGAAGAGGTTTGGATTGAAGGCAGCATCTGTGTCGCAGGATCAATTTGTTGCACTTGCTGCAATATATGTAAGGTAGCTTGATCGTCCAACACCATGAGGGAGGTGTCTAAGAGTGGTGCTGCAGAAGGCATCGACAGCTGAGAGTCCATTTTCTTCTTGAGCATTTGTGGCGGGTCATAAGGTTTCTGGGCAACATTTTTTGTCTCCTTAGAGACCGGCCCTAGTGACTTGGCCTTCTTCTTAGATGGCTTTGGTTTGGGCTTAACAAAAGAGATTTCTGGGGCCGGTGGTGGCATGAGAGGGAGAGCAGCCAAGGTATTTACCTCTTGTTGATTTGGGCTCGATGCTTGGGCTTCAACAATTGGAGAAGGGGTGGCGTCCATCGTAGCTGTGTCATCATTGGAATTTGCTTTGTTTCCTGCCTCAACCAGTGTTGTTTCTTTATTTGCGCCGATCAATTCGATTTCCTCATCCATCAACTCCTCCATTACTGCAAAACGGTTTTGTTGCGAGACTTTCGCGCCTTGACTTCTACCTAGAACCGCTGATTTCGCCAGGTTTCCCGAGACAGGCTGTGAAGGAGCAGAAACTTTGGTTGAGTGATCTGGGCTGCTATGCTCGGCCGGGGCTTGGCTATTCTTCACCGGATTTCGCCGCCTTGGCTTTCGTTGTTGTACCATCCACGGGCCAAAAACCATGTTGTTCTCAGCCGTATCTGGCTTTAAGGTTTGTGTGAGTTCAATCATGGCTTGGGCATTGGAATGTCCTGTAGAGACAGATCTTCCTGGGTGTTTATAGTGACAAGAGTCTTCAGTATGACCGAATTCACCGCAGTGGAAGCATATCTTGTGCAGACCTTCATACTCCACTAAAATCATTGTTTGGGGTAATTCCTCCAGATCTAAATCTAGAGTCGATGGTAACTTTTGGCTAAGATCAACTTCAACACATACTCGTGCAAACTTTTCTCTGATACCCAAAAGAGTTATGCTATCCACTTTGATTGGTTTGCCCAACTTGCTAGCAAGGTACAAGACAATGGCTTCTTGGAAACACATTGACGGCACTCCATGTAGTTTAATCCAGACTGCAGTCTTCGGTGCTTTTGCTCTCGCTGGATGGAAACTTGGCTCCCATGGTTGAACTGCTAAGTAGTGATCAAAAAATTTATACGGGCCTCCTGTTAAAACCTTTGAGCAATCGTCTTGAGTGGCAAAACGCACAATGAAGTACCCCATTCCAACATCTATAACTTCATACTCGTGCTCTGTTTTCCATTCCTTTAATAATCTAGCATGAAGCGTGTGGAAGTTTATGGATTTTCCCAGGAGCTTAATGATAACTGCGTTCTTCCACGGCACACATAGGCGCTGCCAAATAGCCTTGGGGATTTTTACTTTTGGAACCTTGGCCCTTGTCGGATCTGCCCCATCCTCTGCCATAGGGGAGTCTTCTGCAGGATTTGCTTCCACTAGTTCCTCATAGGTCACTATTGGTTGTGCTTTAATCGCAGAGCCATCCAAGAGGGTATCGCGAAACGATTTTGCTGAATCAGTGGAGCCCAGGGACTTGCCTTGCACTGTCCCATCGTGGTTATGCATCAGGTTGGATGATGTCGAATGGTGATCTGCGGGGAAGATTGCAAGTATGTCCGGTGGTGGGTGTGGGGGAGGGAGGTTGGGCGCCGCCGGGGGCGGATCAAGGTTAGGGGTTGGAGAGAGCATACTCGTGGATTACACTTGTTGGGTGAGAAGCATAGGATATTAGCAGAGCTAAACTTATGACTTACTATTATGATGTAATGATTACATGTAATTAACGCATTCACTTGTTGACTATTTCATCTCCCAATTGAATAATATATAGGTTATTGATGCGTGATGGTTATTATCACCACAATTTTTATTATAATTATTAAAAATTATTATAATTTTATTATAATTTAATATTTAAAAAATTATAAATAAATAAAATTATTGTTAAATTAATAGTATTAACGAAA